GTCGTTGAACGGCCTTTACATACGAAAATGATCAACGCGATAAAGCATATTGCTCGTTTGCCCGCTATGTGTGCTTTGTATCACTTACGTACAATAATAATAATAATATAATTAAATATATGTGTACAATGAAAACACTAAAGCGCATACTAAAAACCAAATTTCATTTATAACGCTCTAACGCACTATGTATTTTGAGCTGGATTGACCCTTTTTTTTTTTTTTTTTTTATTGGCTTTTTTCCTTGTCGATGCGACGCCGGACTGTTTGTTATTCTTCTTCGTAATCGACTTATTACTTTACGTTGTTGCAATATTATTATGGTTATGAATTATGGAAATTCGTTTATAAATAGCGAAAAGCTCAGGTACAGTATATAATATATAATTTAATATTAATGCGATACAGATACGAAACAATCAACAACGACCGGACGACGATGATAGGTCATTTTATATTATTATACCTACCTACTTGGGTCATACACGCGAGTTGTGAAATAAATAATGTGAAAAAAAAGTAGATTACCAGTTAATGAAACTCTTGATAGGCACACGGTGCAACATCATTCGACCGACCGCTGTAAACATAATATTATTACACAGCTTTTCAAGGAGATTGTAACTTTTAAATCATAAAAAGTCGTCAATGCTCAGACAGTTCAACGACATCAAAACGTTCGATTTCGCTTTCTTTGTGCACATGAACCGTGTTAAAAAAAAAAAAGCACAAAATACGTTCATTAAAAAATAATTATTGCGACTTGCGTCTGAATTATTCGAGGTCCTATCGTCGAACATAATTCGTGCTTGTATTTTTTTTTTTTTTACTACTACGGTAGTTATACGGACAGCTAGAGCTCAACAGCCGATTAAATCAATCTATAGAGGATTAAGGAGATTACTTACTTTCGGTGTGTGGACAATATTGTGTTATGTGCATGCGCGCGACGTGGAGTTCATTGACTCTGGTCGACTCAAATGTTTTAATACACGTCATAAAAGTATTTCGTGCATGTGCAGAGTTATCAAAATGTACGATTTATGGCAATAGGCCGATCGTAAATATCTAAACCCCTTTTTCTCCGGACACGAAAAATATCTTTGTACCTACCTCTTTTAAAGGATATTATATATTTTGTTGTTTAGGTTTTTTTTATGATGATAATTTCGAATTCGTGATCAACGCATTTAAAAAATAACTTTTATAGGTTTATTTTACTTCAGTATTTTTAAGATATTTTATTACCTTGTCACGAACGTGTTTATTCCTCTTTTGTACAAAAACTTAATAGGATTTTCGGGTACACGTTATTATATTAAATCACACGTGTATAATATGTTATGTAGCGTTGGAAGTTGGATGTAGTGTGTGTACACTTTATCCTAACTGCAGTTTGTCGGGTGGAAAAAAGAAATCTCGTGTATTTTTTTTTTTTTTTTTTTTGTACCGTCCGTTGAACAACTCAAAAATAATATATTATGTACATATAACTTAATATATTATTATTATTATTATGCTACTCGAGCATGTAGTCTTTTTATGAAGTCTGACCGTATTCAGGGACAATGACCGATAAGTAATTTCTCCCCCCCCCCCTTGTAAAACGTATATTTGCGTATAATGAATTATAGTAAAAAAATAAAAAAATACACGTATTCAAGCGTACTTTGGCGCCGCCGCTTTTTTTTTTTTTTTTTACTTATCACGGTAATCTTATCGCGGTTTCGTTTTTCCGGAAATTTTTTTTTTTGCTCGCTAAACAATAGATGCTCTCACGGTCCAAACGATAGGAATGTCTCCGACAATACAGAAACAGTAGCATTTAATAATAATAATAACTGTAAAAAATAGTATTATAATAGAAAAAAAAAAAAAACAAAATCTACAAACACATAATATTATTATGCGTTATTATTGATGTGTAAAACGGGTTTATCGGCAAATATTACAAACGTGCGAGTGTGTATAATACATGGTAATTCGGTCGTTAACAAAAACACAATGCCGGGACAAACACACATATTGGCGAGAGTATTATTATTATTATTATTAGTGTTGATAATATAAATATAATAATAAAAACATTTCGCACGGCCTACATCCGCCCAAGTTGTTGCCGCTGATGGTCTTTTATCAGTGGACCAATGGCTAAATAGTTTAACAATTTTTTTTTCTTCCTATCGCATTTTAACTGGCACACACGTAACCATCACCACTATTCGTTCGCCGTTCGTTTTGACAAGGTGTTCGGATGCAAAATGATCAAGAAACTGCTCGCCGACTGTCTGTAAGTTATTTTATCATGTTTTTTTTTTTTCCCTTCTATTATCCCTTTTCGGCCCTTCCCCCCCCCCCCAGAATCTAATGTGTTGTTACTACTCACTTTGTGTTGTGTGTCTTCAGTGTGTACACGGTATTGTAGGGTATTTTTTTACGATTTTAGTACGCTTACACTCACTCCGCCGTGGTGCCGGTGTGATGTTATTATTATTATTGCGCTTTTTTTTTTCTTTCCTATTTCGGTGTGGCATCTATCGTCGTATCGCAGGCGCTCGCTCGTTAAGGCCCGCGGTGTGTGCACGCGTAATTCCATACGAACACGAGGGAAAAAAATATAACGATATCGTTAAGCACATATTGTTTCACGGCCTACTGCGTGACCTCTCGCCTCGTTGCATACACCTACATTGTTCGTGTGACCGAAAGCGGCGGAATACCATGTTTTCCCAGGTTTAATAAAATAATATGATTCAACTGTTGGGGAATTCACGCCGTGTCCGAGTGGAAGTGTGCATAGGTTTAGATACTATAGTGTGTCGGCTGCGGCGGTAACTTGTACAACACATTGTCGTGTATTATTATTATTGTTATTATATTGTGTGCGTAGTATAGTATAAATGAAGTTTAACCGGTCTTATCAGCAACAGGTCATCTGGTAACGAAGAGAAATAGAAAGTGGTAGAGCTGCGTTTATAATAATATATTGTGTGTGTATAGTAGTGTGTACGCGACTTGCTGCAGGTCTGTGTGTATGCAAGCGTGACGGTTCGAGCGTATGATGATTGCCAACTATAACATATTGAAATAATAATAGTATTTACCTGCACACAATGTAATAGTATGTTATTCCGTAAACACGTATTTTAAACTAAACGGTTAGACCATTTGATTTGAATGCCACATTAATTGTTTAGTCCGAGTACTTGAATAAAATTAATATTGTGAAAAATAACATCAATCTGTTACTATGTTGCCCTGTGAGAAGTTTTTATTTTTTCATTTGAGGCCGAATCGTATATTGCACCCAATTGACCAAGGTCGCGAACGAAATGACAATGTATAGATGTTTTTTTGCAGTGAAAACGATAAATTATTATTGGTGTCTAATAGACGTGTAACGCATTACGCAAATTAGCATATTTTTTATAAATCACGTTTGATGTGATGGCTGTGACGATTAATGAACCGAGAAAGCGTATGCAAAAAAAAAACCGCCATCATTGCCAAAATAACTCGTATTGTGTTTTTTCAGTAACTGAATAATAAAACGAACAGTAGTATAGAGGCAATTTTGAGAGATCTCGAAAAAGGTTAGCGCTTGTTCAGAAATCAGCTCCCAGCTAATGTCCAAATATCATCGCACTATTAATACAATAAGGTATCTAAAAAATGACTTTTTGAGCCTACGTCATCGGTTGGAGGATAGTAAATTGAATTTAGAGTTACCAAAATTTACTTGATAAAATATTGTCTTGCCATTTGTGGTACAGATTTATATTCGTTTCGTTTGTATAGCATTAATCACCCTTCTATCGATGGTTATCGCGATTGTGGCCGTACTAGACTTAAACATTTTACGACTAATTCTTATTTTTTATTCACCCTGTTCGCTTTTACCCCCATTGCTAACTTTTTGGAGCCTATTTATACGGTACCTTTTGGATATAAGACATTTGAACATCCTCTTCGGTCAGTGGAACACCCGCCACTTAATTTAAATCGTAGTACGAATTCACTTTGATCCGTATTGATCATATTATACTCGGAAATCAATCGTAGTCAGATAATACATTATTACGTCTCTTGATATTGTCAATGGCATAGTGCATAGATGCCATAAGTGCATTTGGAGATATTGAATTATATGTATAAATATAAATACCTAATAGCTATAGAGCGTCGTCGTTTTAATTGTAAGAGCCAATAGAACTTTATCCAAGTATACGATAGGGAATTTTGAACTTTCAAACACCGTTCCTGTAAAATGCACAAATGAAATCTGTGCAGTGTGCACTCGCTATGCCATCGCTATAACGATAGGCGAGTAGTATAGAATATATCAGGTGATTGTGGTACTTCGTTTGGCAGTTCGCATTCATGTACATTTGGAATACGAGGCGACGACAGACGAAGACGGCCGTTGGCGTTTATGACGAGAGTAAGAACGTAAACAAATATATTAAACTGCGTAGAAACCGCGAACACAAGCGCATAAAAAAGTCGCAATTTCGATTTGTAAATAAAAATAATAATGTTATCAATTTGGACACGCGACCATGTTATGCGTAAGACATGATGTATCGATCGTAGGCTCGAATTTTTAATCGGAGTTAACTAATGCTAAATGATCGAAGACCCAAAACACGAGTATTCGCCATGTCAAATTAAATGTTGGTCCGTACGCATATTAACTGCTCGCCGCCGGGTCGTGTGTTTTCGTCTGGTCGTGTATGATGGATTTATGTGCACATCATATACTTACAAGTTGCACACATACTATATTAATGTACGTTGCTGGTTCGTTGACATCCGTATGACACGACGGGTCGGTGAACCTATTATAATAAAATTTTCGTCTAGCAATCAAATCAACGGTTTCGTTTTTTTTTTTCAATTATTGACCGCCGAGATTAAGTCGGTAGACATGGTGTGTGTGTGTGTGTGTGTGTGTGTGTAATTATTTATTAACAAAAAATATTTGTTATCTTTTCAAACAGATTGGAGAACGGCGTTAACGTACAGGAACCGCCGGGATGTATGCACCCGTTACCGGCCCATCGGCCGATCGAGCTGACATTTACAAACCTGACTGTGACATTGGACGACAAGAGACAGGTACTGAAAGACGTCAGCGGTCTCGTGAAACCCGGAGAAGTGTTGGCCGTCATGGGACCCTCGGGTATGTACCTGGTATAACAAAGCAATAGGTACATAATATTGTTGTCTATGGATCATCAATTTGTTTCAAAATATTCATGTAAACGGTTAAGTTAATTTATAGATTATTTTTGTACTACTCTTTCGATCATAAAGTATCGAAGCTATCGATAACATTATCGACTTTTGATTTCTAACTGATATAACCATGATAGAAAAAATTAATGAATAATTGCGTTAGTTTAAGCGTTCGTGAGAATTAGGCGGAAAGAGTTGCAATTGCATCTGTGTAAGATAAACCATTGATTATAAACACTAGTATTTTGTAGTATTTGATGGATAAACTAAAAACGGACAAGTCTTACCGTTCAAAAATACTTTTCATGCTGTCACGTCGTACTACAAAAAGTACAATTTTCTATACGCGCACAGCTTACTTACAGGGGAATAAAAAATACAATCCGGCTGTGTACAGATTTGTTTTACTTTTGCCCGGCATAACCGGAGCACGTGCGCCATTCGTGTGAAAGGTCTTAAGTGGCGCTAGTTAATTTGTCCTAATCGACGGAAGACTTGTTACAGTTTATTATTAACGTTGGACGATTATTGTCCAGCACTGCGTGAATCCGGCAATTATAATATAAACTATACGTTCGCGGGGCATCAGGAAAGCAACCGTGTAACCGAGTCTGTGTATGAATATTAATAAATCCTACAACAGCAGGTAAACGTGAAAAACGCTGACATTTAAATAATTCACGGATGTGTACATATACTACTATAAATAGATGTACCTACCTTTTTTTTTTTTTTCTAATTGCTATTGACAATAGTCTATAGCGTACAACAAACTAACGCACGTTAAACATATTTGAGCCTCTAAGCGATTATTATTCAACTCCGACGTTCACTGAACAACGTCGCCGCTGTTGGAAGTTAGTCGGACCAAGTCGGTTAGCTTTTAAAAGATGTCATATACGTGTATATACTATAATTTTACCATATCTCATTAATCTGTACCAGTAGTATTTATTATTATAATTAACTATAAAATTCATAACTATAAACATTGTTTCATTAATGCATACCTACTATTAAATCTATTAAATGGTCCACTGGTCAGCAATTTCAAATTGAAAAATGAAATCACTTTTATGAAAAAATCCTCTTGGTGCATAAATTGTACAGAGAAAAATCAGGCAAAAATAAATTGGATAAATAAAAATTGCTTTTTTGAAAACTACATTTTTGTCAGTTAATAGCAATTTAAACGGTGGATGTTATAAAAATAGGTATAGAGATTTAAAATGAGTAAATATAAAAATGGTAAATAATAGCTATATTTGGACAATTATTTGGTTGGCTAAGGCCTGACCCCGTTTGTTGAAGTCGAAGATAAAGAAAACGAAGGGTATGGTTTTAAAAAAAAAAAAAAACAAGAATTCTCATTTTTGAGGGAAAGTAGACCAAGTATATGAATACAACTTTTGATCAATGCACTGAATTTTTAAAGAATTCGATTCGACTATTAAAACGTTACTGTGTCTACGGACAATTTTACACATCATTGTAAAATCAATTTTACTACTTTCTCAACCATTTTGACTAATTTTGATAGCAGGGGTGGACTAAACGATCTTTATTATCATAAAATGTGTACGCTACCATTATACTTTAAAAAACTGGTTGCGACTCCACTCTAGGGATTACAAAAATAAAAAAAATTAATTTAGAAATTCTGTAATATTATAAAATAACTTAAGAGGACGCTACCCAAGTTAATGTATTTTAATGTAAATTATGAGCGTATTTAGTTTATAAGTGCATTGTAATAAATTGTTATTATTAATCAATCTTTAACATAAATTATCATTAATAATATGATAATAATTGATAACAACATTTGTTTGACAAAAACGGTATTTCGTGTCAGTGATTGTACTAACACCACAGAATAACTTATTTTGTGATTAAATTTAATATAGTTTTACTATATTAAAATAGATTAAAATGTCACATCTTCCACGTATTGAAAATAAAAATGAACTTAAAATTAACATTTCTACTACCAATTAAATTTAAACCGTTTTAAAAAGTTATACGAGTAACTTTTTGAGTAATTGGTAGTAATTTGATTCGTAGACTTATTACGAACCCTTAAACTATTTTACTTAGTCTTATTTATCCGGTCAAAGCATTTGCCTGATATTATAATATAATTGTTTTCAGGTTGCGGCAAAACCACTTTGCTGAATTGTTTGTCAGGTCGAACCAAATTGGACTCCGGGTGTATTCATCTCAACCGTGAGCGTCTGAATAAACGGTGCAAAAGGCGTATCTGTTATGTGCTACAACAAGACATCTTTTTCCCCGACTTAACCCTGAGGCAAACACTCGAAGTACGTCACTTATCAAAATAATAACGTTATAGTTTTGCACAATGTGACCTTGAGTATTAGGAGAATCGAGAACTGTAATGATAATAGAAATTTGTTCAAATTTTATAATTACAAATTTTGAAATAAAATCAAAATCATCAAATTTCGACTTCCCTGCGCCTTTTTCGCATTATAATGTACACCAAAAATATTGAAGACTAACTTTGAATTGTTTTCTACGCATTTATTACAGTATGCGGCTCTACTCAGACTACCCGATTCGTTATCCCGAAGCCAGAAAATGCAATATGTTGATCATATCATTGACGTACTCGACTTAAACAACTGCCAAGATACGAGTATGTAAATCGTTAATGTCGATGCATAATATTTAGTGTAATATTGTTTATAACCAGTATCTATTTATGATATCTATTGGTCGAAAGTTTGCTACCAAAATCAACAGCGGGGCGTTTACGAAACATTTATTTGTCTACTACTGTATTATTTTTTTCCGCGTGTGCTTGTATTGGTCGATAATTAAATTAAAAGGAAAATGGTTACAGGATGGTGAAGAAAGATGTATTTGTACGGAAATAAGGGGGGAGAAGACGAGGTGTGAATATAGCGAAGGTTTAATAAACGCTTTGTTTGCAGCCGTGGACGTTTGTCGTTCGGTTGCATAATCCGCCGAGGAATAAAACCGCATCGAAAAAAGCTAATAACTAATGTATTACGCTAATCTATTATAAAGGTTAACCAAGGTTACCACATATGTACATAATATAATGCTCATGTACAATACGCGGCTAATCGATGTTTATATTGGAATAACGCCGAAGCTTTTTCAGAAAAGAAATACAAATTTAATTACACAAAAAATAAAACCGATTTACTTATTGTGCTAGACGTTAAAAACGATTATTTGCGTGAAGAAGGTTGTCTGTTGTTGTTCATCAAATGACGACTAGGGTTGTGACTGACTGAACAAGCAAGAGTTGAAGTGGAATAGAAGAGAAAGTGCATTTTAAAGGTTTTAAAGTTGTGTTTAATTTACCCATTTTAATATTCGTATCAGATGGAAATCGGAACCCAGACATTTGTGTTCATGCGTGATGTACAAAAAATATATAATATCGATATTTTTTTAAATAATAATTTTTAGTCATTGGAGATTACATAAAACGCGGCCTGTCCGGTGGCGAAAAGAAACGAGCAAATATAGCATGTGAACTATTAACCAATCCTGCCTTAATGCTCCTAGATGTAAGTATACGGTATAATAATGAAAGTTTATAACCGTATTTATTGTTTTCGTTGTAGTTAACTTTTCGACCGTTATTTATGATTTTCCCGTAGGAACCCACTACAGGACTGGATTCTCATTCGGCGTACAGTTTAATGTCATCTCTAAAAAAATATGCGGAAAAAGAAGGCAAAACTATCGTCGTCACTGTTCATCAACCTTCATCGCAAATATTCCACATGTTCGACAAACTGCTTTTAATCTGCAACGGACAGGTACGGTACCCTGTTACTATGTACACACACGACACAAAATAATTAATATTCTCAATATTTTAAAACTCATTTTAGACTGCATACTTCGGAGACATTGATAAAGTGGTCAGTTTTTTTAGTGGTATTGGCATGACAATAGCGCCGCATTACAATCCAGCAGATTTCATTTGTAAGTTTCCCGTAAGCGCACCTTTGTAAAACATAGATATTATAATAATGTATTTCATATTGTAGTGGAACAAGTGAAAGGCCCAGAGGATATGAAGCAAAAAATCATAGCTGCTGCAAAAATAGCCCGGGAAAACTATTATAATCAAGAGCTATTGCACTTGAGTTGTGCCTGTGACAAGTATCTGAATAACTATCGTCACAACCACAATCATCACAGCAATGGTAAGACATTTGTTATAACTTATAAGCGTCATATTTTTGTTTCTAATTGTCCACACCAATCATAATATTCGTATTTTAGATAATTATAATTGCCAATGGCCAATAAACACAACCAGCGGTCACATCTGTACAGCGTTTAGTGATTCGTCTACGGATAGCAACGAAAAATGTTACACTGCTATTACAGGTACGCAATATCTGCGTGTATAAACCAATATATGTTTATATATAATATAAGGATTTTTGACAGTTGACATAATGGTGATGTTAATATTCTGTTTTGTAGTGAATGAGGACGAAGCGAGAACATTATGGCTGGACAGTCAAAGCCACTCTTCTACATCCACTTCTGATGAAGATTTTACTTGGCAATGGCCAACAAGTTTTTGGACTCAATTCAAAGTACTTATTGTTTTATTTTGATCATTTTCTTTTGGGAGTTGCCAGCTTTTTATTGTAATTCGATTGTGTAATTGTTTTTTAACAGGTTTTAAGCCAGAGAAATTTTCAAGAAGCCCGTCCACGCATGTTAAGCACATTGAATTGGGTGCAGACCGTGGCGCTTGGATTTTTAGCAGGATTTCTTTGGTTTCAACTTCCCCGAACAGAAGAGTCTTTACATAACATACAGGGTTGGATGTTTTTTTCAACTACTTATTGGATGCTATTTGCTCATTTTGGCACTTTATCATCTTGTAAGCAAAACCTTAAGTAATATGTACAGTCGCTGACTGGCTAGGATGCTGGGTGGCGATCTCGTTTTTAAAAAAGAAAAACTACAAAGTTGCTATTATTTGTGTTAAAATTATAAAAATTTTGCTGTAAAAAAATATAAATTTTAATGGTGTTTGTGCCCGTACGTAATAGGTAAGCTAAATGAAACTATATTGCTCCAAAAATATTATGGTATTGTCTACACTTGACGTCACAGAATAATAACCAGAAAGGAAACTTATGTGAATCTTTTTTTGAAAAATCTTCTTTACTGTCCGAAGTTACTCTTACTTTTTCTTGAATCACCTGATACATAAGAATATTGTGTAAAAATACTATGTCTGAAATTAGAACTAAATTTTGGTAACGTTGTACAATATAAATTACAAACAAAATTGGCGCTCTTAAGAGCTTTATGTTTTTGGGAAGACATTTTTAACATCAAATTACAACTTTAATCTTTTCTTTTAAAAAATGGAAAAATGATAGAACCTAAATTTTCAATTTTTAAAAAACTTTAATATATCCCCACTGGGTTTGCGCAAGGCTCAATTGACATCGGAAACAGCCCTGCACATCTTATTAGTACTATAGTTAGTAAGCTTGTAATTTTAATAAAGGAGAGGTCACTACACCTTCATATAGTTGATATTAATATAAGTGTTAATAGAAAAAATACTTACATTTAATTTAAATTTTACAGTTCCGCCCGAACGAGAAGTAATCAATAAAGAAAGACAAAGTGGAGCGTATCGTTTGAGTGCATATTATCTGGCAAAAATGGTCGGCGAATTGCCACTAACAATAACCTTGCCAGCTGTCTATCATCTGATCTCTTATCCAATGCTCGGCATGCATAGTTTTAGCACATTCTTTATTTTACTATTATTTCTTCTGTTGAATACCATTGTTGCTCAGGTAAGTTTTATCTATAAGCATGTTATATCGATCAAGTTAACTAATCCAAGATTCGTTTAATTTTTTTAGAGTGTGGGATTTTTTGTTGGAGCTTTTTGTATGGATATGCAAGTTTCAATAACCATAAGTGCCCTTTATACATTAGCGACTCAGTTATTCGGTGGCTACTTGGCAACCAATATTCCTAGCTGGCTACAATGGATGCAGTATCTTAGTATGGTTCATTATGCGTACCAAAATATGCAAATAGTCGAATTTGGCGGCGATGCAGAACCGATTAGGTAATTTTAGTTTTGTTTAAAAATTATTAATTATTTTAGTTAATTTTTAGTTATTACTAATTATAATATAATTATATGAACAATATGAAATTAGAAGTTAGCATATTACGAGACAAAGCTTGAAAGTTATCCTGGGAGTGGTAAAAATGTCAGAGTCTGTAATTATATCAATTTTAAGCATGTTGAGAACAAGAGGTGTTCAAGTATAAGAAAATCGTAAATTTGAGGGGAAAAAAGTAGTACGAATGATTGTAGATAAATTTGAGATTTAAAGATTGCCCAAGAAAATTACAGTAGGTAATTAACTTGAATGATGAATGATGACAATATTGTGTTATGAAATTTATTTTCAAAATGTAAACCAAACTTGAATACATTTTTTTTTTTTTATGTTGTAGATGTGCAGCACAATCCAAATACTCAGTATGTACGTCAAATTCTACATTTATACCGGCATCATATATCGTTAATGCCCAAGGTGCTTCTTTTCCTTTGTGGCTGAATACTCTGATTTTGATCGCCTTCCTTGTCGTGTTCAGATTGTTAGGTTATTTAGTGTTGCGTTTTATTCGGAGACCAAAGTGAATACCTACATTGTTGTTGGCTGTGAGCGATTAAATTTTTTAAATATTAATCGTTTTATAAAACAAAATATGGCTGTGTCATTTTAGACATTATAATATTTTTTATCTCGTTATAAATATTAAACTTAGAGACTCGTTTTTCAACTAAAAAACCCCGAACTCATTTCCTAACACTAAAATTTGGTGCTTGTACCTTTTTTTGATCGGATTTCGGGAACAGTGGTGAGATGTGATGCACATATTTACCGCTCTGTTTTGATTTTTTTTACTATGTTGTAATAATGTTTTTAAATATTGCATGGAAATTATTTTAAGACTTTAATTACCTATTTTTTAGTTTTTAAAAATCAATGTAAAATTATTGTTTTATTGAGTCGAACGTACAGATGATGTTTGTCGCATATACCTCTGAAATTTTTTTGTTATACTGTTCGCACAGATTTTTGTTACTACTTAGATAAAAAAAAATCACATTTTTAATTTTTAGTTTAAAAATGCTTTATTAATTTTAATTGAATCACTATTCACCATTATTTTTATTTTATTTTATAATGTATAAATTATATGTTTTTTTAATTTTAAATATTGTATTTATTTAAAAAAAAAAAAAAAATTGTTCGTATTTATTACCATATGTGGTACAAAAAAAAATGTTGATTCTGTTTATATATATTTATATATGTATATTTTTTTTTATTTGATAGTTTTTGTAAGCAATAATAATTTCTAACTACAGTATCTGTAATTTTTGACTGGCCTGTAAAAAGTCATTTGTTTTTATTGTAATACAATACAACATTTATATTATTGAAAATAATTTCTGTGTAGTATTTTTTATAATAATATTGTATTATAATGTAGACATTGTAATACAAAACTGAATATGTGCCTGTAATATTCTTAATGTCCTTCATGATTGTTTTAAAGACAACCAGTCTGCGATAATCCTTTGTGACAAATAAAATTAACGATATTCTATCATCTAAATGATGTTATATTGTTTTAGTACTATGCATAGCATTACATAGCTATGCTGACAAATTCTATAAGGAAATCAAGCCTTTTTATGCATTAAGTGTAGTGAAAATAGAAAAGTTTTAAAGTAATTTTCACAATTCTTCAGAAAAGTACCATATTATAGTGCATACCAACCCAAAGCAGAAAAAAAATATCCTCTGCGCCTAAGACAACAAATAAAAACATAAATACAACTTTAACTTTTATCTATTTTTATTAGAATTCTCTGTAAAAATACCTTAGATTAATTAGCATGACTAATTAAAATAGCAAAAAAAAAAAAGTAAACTTACTAGCAATTTGAAATAAATGCTAATAAAACAGCATAATAAACATACTTGTAAGTAGTAGATGGTTATTAAAAATCACAAACGTTTTTTGGTAAATAGATAGTTAGGTAACTTGGGACACTGAATGGTGATATTAGGCACACATTTACGTTTTCTTTTTTTATTACAAAATTAGTATTCTAAAAATAATTTTAAAATATAATTTGAAGCTTGTGTCTCAAATTATCAATTTGGTGGTATGTAATTGCCAGTTTGGTAAAAACTTTATTCCATTACTTGCTTTGAAAAATGCATCTTTGTAACTTTAGACAAATGAAGACTATTTGTATTTTTTTCTAACAATTTGACTTAAATTTCCTAATTATGTGCATTAAAACTTCCTCTATATAACTGATTATTTGGTATACCTAAATTTTTTATTATCAAATGACAACTATACATTTAATAGAAGCATGGTCTTTCATATAAAACGATTGATTAATACCTTGTTTTAAATAATTTACTATTTTTCGTATTGTAAGTATTTTAAAATAATGACACTATGACAGTGGTGTAATTAATAGAACTAAATCCTTGAAAATTGTTCATAACTGTACCACAAAGATGCAAAAAAAAATGTCTTTTAGTTAAAATAAAATGTTTAATAACATAATATTATATATATTATTTATTATTATGGAACCTTCAGCATTTTAAGCTGAAAAACGACTAAATGTGTTTTAGAAAATAAATTTGAGATAAAGTGTAGAGATCGATTCACTGAGCGTTAAATGTTTTCCATTTACTTTAATAGCTATGTCTAAATCATTTACATTTAAACAACTTGTCCCATTCTCAATAGATATTGATAATATTTTCAACATAAATGTGGTCAATACAAGTCCGGATGAAGAGGTAGCGCGAGTAAAGGCATATTTATGCATGTAATAAATTTATTTATTTTTTAGTGGTTTTAAGACGTGTATAGTTAGCCATAAAACAGCGTTGGTGTATGTTGTGCTGCCAATACCGTATTATTTTAAGGGGCAGCCTAAAGCATAAACTCCCATATGTCTTCATTGTTTATACTATAGTACTATATAGAATCGGTGTCTCCTATGATTCTACTAATGTTGTCATTTTACCTTTATGCTCCAAGAACACATTTTTAGTTCGATCTTAAATGCATTAAAGTCCAAGTATATCAATATAAATATTTGTTGTACAAACAGTAAATATTATTAAACGGCAAAATTCAAATTTGAACCAATAAATCATGTAATTAATCATAAAATTTCTTGTTCCGTGAAATACATTTTATGAAACAAATTTCCCCTGTAGATCACCGGCTATACGGCACAATGCTTTTTATATTAAAAATTGTATTTTAATTTCTTTGGATATGCTTTGAAGTAAATAAGCTACTGTTGTTAACATGGCTTACTATGGTAATATGGTTACAATGATCCACACTGATTTTACTAACCTTAGATTTTTGGCGTTTATTGATTTTGAGACCTTTTTTGGTTGCTTATTTTTTCCTTGTATGAACTTAGATATTCTTTAAGCTCTTGTAAAATTGTATACATTTCCTTTACATTTTATTTGATTATTAAATCTCTTTACAGATCACTAATAGTAAACCAGTAATCATGTAAATTACTTTTATCACAATGTATTCTTTCCAACATTATTTTCAACAGACTCCTAAACCTATTACAAATTCCTATTTTATTTTATAAAACTAACTTAGGTCTTAGTGACCTTATGAGTTTTCCTAAAATGTTCTCATATTCTGATATTCACCACATTGTTAATTTTCTGTTCCAATTTCTATCTACCACATAACATTTAAAACATTATAATATACTCACACCTGTTTTTAAAAAAATGTACTTTATAAAATCTAATTTTCAGACCGAAATGCCTAAAACTATGTTTGAAAAAGTGAAATAAATAAAAAAAAAGCAATTCCTTCTAGGGGAAAAGGGCTTATGATATTTTTTTGCTTTGTCAATGTTTATCGGTAGTACTATGTTTTTAAAAACGTTATAGAGTACCGTAATTTTAAATTGTAAATTTGTTGGGTGTTTTTCTTGAGGGGAAGGAAAAGGGGTGATTCTTTCAAATGTTATCCCAACAAAATATATTATTCAGGTATTTTTATTTTTATAATCTTTAGAATTGCAAACAGAGTTCCAGACACAAAAATAAATAATAAAAACATCATTATAAAAAACAATAACTTCTTAGCTCCGCATCGAAGCTAAAATAAATTGCATCATAGTTATAATAATCATTTATTTAAATTGTTTGCCTATTAACGACAAGCTCTCAAAGTTATAATCTCGCTTTGTTTTTAATTTAAATCACCATACTTACTTGATTTTTTAAAGATCAGGCTTGGTACACAAGATGTACCTAGTTTCATAGAGTTGTATCTATTTGTCTTTCAAAATCTAAAGAATATTATTTCCGGACCACAAAGAGTGGTCGAGTGACGCAAAGTAAGTAGCTCAAGATTATAGGTACAAAAAAAAAAAAATCAAAATTCGGGTCTGTGGTGGGAAAGTCAATTTGTTTCAATTTTTTTGGAAATGAGTGAATATTAAAAAAATATATTTAGTTTACATGACTATTTGCATATTCAAGATGCCATTGCGCAGATAAAAGAGTGTATTAGAAAACACGTATTCTAAATACATACTTTAAAATTACAAATATATTACCTATTTAATTTAAACACTTACTTCTGTCAAATATAAAATAATAGATTTTATAGGTTTTGGCAGTTGGCACTCGTATGGCGCGCGGCTATCCGAAAGAAGCCGCCGCTGCCGCGCCGAGACAGAAAATAACGCCATCTATGAGGTGTTGTATACATTTCACTCTTGGTTAAGTAGTGCGCCTGCGTAATCGCCATTCTGATAAAATAATGTAAACAACGAAAATTGATAAAATGATAATGGTGAGAATTGAGAAATATTAACTGAGCGTTTCAAGTGAAATATTAGGAAATAAATGAAAACCGAAAAGGTGTTTTTTTTTTTTAATTTTGTTTAATTATCAGCAATTAAGTGAGTACGTTGTTTTTAGTTACTCGTTGCCAAATGGTTTCGCTGTCGCTTACCAAAGCGGATATCGAAAAATGTATAAACATTCAGTGCAATCCAATAAAATGGAAGGGATTGCTTACAGGTTCTCTGAGAAAAGTTACAGAACAGGTTCATCCTTCTTTAAAAGCAAGCGACGAGGCATTGGAATACGTAGAAATGCTTGTCATCATGTGTCTTGAAATTTTAACCGTACGATCACCCCCGCCCCATACTGTGCATGATATTGAAGATCAGGTGAAACGGTCATTTCCCAAACCAATAGACAAGTGGGCTATTAGGGATGCTAAAGAAGCGTTGGAAAAAAACAAGAAAAAAAATCCATTGGTATTGCCGACGGATAAAATTTATAATCTTGTTCAAAAAGAAATACTGCAATACAAACTGGATTACCAAGTAGCTCTTTATACAACCGCAGTGTTGGAATATATAGCGGCTGATATATTAAAACTGGCCGGTAATTATGTAAAAAATATACACCGTGTAGAAATTGGATTTCAAGATCTACGTGTTGCGATATGTGGCGATAAAGTATTGATGGATTTGTTTGGTCAACATGACAACAATGGCGATTTAAACTTGTCAGACTTAGGTATTGATAAAATACAGAGAACCTCTGCTACATACGAAGAAGTCATTAGAGACCTAATGCACGATGAACGTCAACATATAAGAGATTTACACTTGATTTTAAAAATATTCAAAGAAGAAATTGACCGGATCATACCGACCGGTAGTAGTCAAGAGTTAGATAGTATGTTTAATAACATAACTGATATTTGCAAAGCAACAGGACTGTTTTTGAGTTCAATAGAAGATATATTAGAAATAGCAGAAGACAAATCCGCTACAGTTGGATGTTGTATTGAAGAGTTGGCTGAAGCAGCTGAATTTGATGTGTTTGCACGTTATGCCAATGATATTGTAAAAAGGCAGTGTAGAAATATATTTTGGAATTTAATTGATAAACCAGAAGTTTCTAATTTATTACAATCAGCCGGCTATGGTTTTAAAGAAGCCGTAAAATATTATTTTCCAAAGTTACTGCTTTTACCTTTATGGCATTGCATACTTTATTTTGAATATATCAAAATTTTGCACCAGCTTTCTCCATCGCAACTGGATAAAGAATGTTTAGAACAAGTGGAGGGTATGTTAAAACCTTTACAGTTGCAAATGACGGCTGCCGCAAACAAAGTCAACTTGCCTGACAATGTTAAAGAATTTGGACTAAAAATTAATGCGACTCCAAGACGGTTGTTAGCTATAGAAAAATTAAATGAAATGCAAAAAGCGATAGACGGTTGGGATGGTAAAGACATGGGACAGTGCTGTACCGAATTTATACGTGAAGGTGTACTTGTTAAAATTTCTAGTGGTGGTAAACGTTGTTCTGAACGCAAAGCTATACTATTTGACGGAGTTCTTATTTTGTGTAAATCTAATAATAGAAGAACTTCAGTATCGGTCAGCTCACAACTTGTTGGTGGTATGTCTGAGTTTAAATTGAAGGAAAAATTTTTTATTCGTAAGGTTGAAATTGTCGATAAAGAAGACACTGATGATATTAAAAACTTTTTTGAAATTGCTCCACGATTACAGCCATCAGTTATATTAGTCGCTAATACTTTCCAAGAAAAAGCTAATTGGATGGCAGATCTAGTAATGCTTAATACAAAAAGCATGTTGGATAGAACTTTAAACAGTATTCTACTCGATGAAGATAAAAAATTTCCTTTGCGCTTACCTTCAATTAACGAGTACAGGTTTGTAGAACCAGACTCTCAATCTAATATAATTTTTGAAGAAAAAGAAAACAATGGTGTACCTCTCATAAAAGGTGCAACTCTAGTCAAACTTATTGAACGATTAACTTATCATATATACGCTGATCCGAAATTCGTAAGAACATTCCTTACGACGTATCGTAGTTTTTGTTCACCACGAGAGCTCTTGGACCTTCTTATTGAAAGATATACAATACCCGAACCCTTTGGCATTACAATAGACACAGTAAGTCTTAGAGATGAAAACAAGAGGTTCAAAAAAGACTATTTAGTACCAGTTCAATTTAGAGTGTTAAATGTAATTAGACATTGGGTTGACTATCATTATTATGATTATCAAAGAGATGCAGGTTTGCTAGACAAATTACATATTTTTCTAGATTCTATAAATGGCAAATCAATGAAAAAATGGGCTGATTCTGTGGTCAAAATATTACAAAGAAAGAGCACAGAAGCACAAAAAGAAATAACATTTGCATTTAATTCTCCACCACCCCCGATTGAAGTTCATATGGAGTTTAATCTTAATGAAGAATTCAATATTTTGTATATTCATCCCATAGAGTTTGCCAGACAGCTGACACTTATAGATTCGGAAAACTACAGAGCTGTAAAACCATCAGAATTAGTCGGATCAGTATGGACTAAAAAGAAAGATAAGGAAATTAATTCACCACACTTGATTCGGTTAATGAAGTGTACTACTAATTTTAGTCGATGGATTCAAAAAACTGTAGTTGAATGTTACAATTTTGAAGAAAGAGTAGCTATTGTTTCGCGATTTATTGAGGTAATGATGGCGTTAGACGAGCTTAATAATTTTAATGGAGTTTTGGCAGGTGTTTTATCAGCAATGAGTTCAGCTGCTGTACATCGCCTAAAAATTACATTTCAAGCTGTCAACGCTAGGCTCTCTAAAGCTCTTGAAGAAGCTTATGAATTACATGAAAATCATAGTAAAAAATATCAAGACAAATTGAGAAGTATAAATCCGCCTTGCGTTCCTTTTATTGGTATGTATTTAACAAATATTTTACTCATTGAAGAAGGTAATCCAGATCGCTTAACTATCAGTCCAAATTTAATTAATTTTAATAAACGCCGAAAGGTTGCTGAAATCATTGGCGAAATTCAACAATACCAAAATCAGCCGTATTGTTTAAATGTTGAATTTAAAATAAAAAAGTTTTTAGAAAATTTAAATCCATTCAATAACATGGAAGAAACTGATATCAATAATTATTTGTATGGTGAGTCTTTGAAGATTGAACCGAGAAATTGCTCAACCGAGAAACAACTACCAAAATATCCACGCAAATGGCCAGAACTAAATTTGAAGTCTCCGGGTCTAAAATCTAAAGTACGCATTCCATCGGCATCTTCTAAAGAACTGGATGTACAAGGAAGAAGAAAATTGAGCTCATCAAGTTCCTTAGTCATTCAAATGGACAAGAGAGAAGAAGAAGATTCTGTCTTCGGACCAGTAACATTTACGCTGGGAAAAAGTCCAAATAATACTGCCCCTCCTGTGCCACCGCGTCTTGCTAAAATTGATAGTAGTTTTAAACCCCCTATACCACCGAGAAGAATAGCTCCACCCATACCCCCCAGAAGAATTCAAGTCGAAAATCTTCAGAAACCTAAAAAATTTGTTATTGAACTACCTCAACAGGAAAATAAACCTCCAGTGCAAGTCGCTAGGTATCCGTTTAAACCATTTGTTCTAAAACGAATTGCTCCATCAATGTTTCAGTTTAATGTTTAAAAATGCCAAAGATATAATATTTTTCATTGGATACTTATCATATCTGTAGATAGTACACCTGACCACTGTATTAATTTAAAAAAGTTAAAATGTAGGTTAGAAAATGTTAGAAAAAAAATATTGAATTTAGTTATAGGATTATTAAATAAGTTATTTTATGACTTTCTGAAAATATTTCAATTGTTTTAATGGTATATATTTCACCTCTATAAATATGATATTTGTATAATTATTGTAAACATCATATTTACAATGCAGATAAAAGCAATTTAATTATAATACAATTTTGACTAATGTTGTTAATTTTTTAACACATCAAGTTAAGAGTGATGAAAAAAAATATTAAATTAACTGTTAAAATAATATTTTGTCTGTGATAATAAATGTGTATAATATGAGTATCATACATTACACAAGTTAAATTTATATAAATGAAAAATAAAAATCGTTGAGGATGGTTTTAGCATTTAGTTAGACATTTTATTTTTAGTTTTAAAGAACGCCAAAGACTTATTCTTATAAAAAAAATTATACAACTAATATAATATTCTACCCAAATGTTTAAACCTAGAAAAGGTAATTTTTTCATAGAATAAATTTGATTTATAATTTTTATTAAAACATTTTTTTTCTTCAAAATTATGAATTTTTTTTATTGTATCACAGTTTGTAAAAATTTAAGTAAGTACGATGGTTTTTTTTTACTGATATAATATATTTTCAATAAGGTATATTTTGTAAAACAGTTTAGTGACATTCTTAAACAATTGTTAAAAAAAAAATACTCTAGCTTATTATATTATGTTTTGGTGAAAAAGGTTTTTATAAATATTTTATTTTTGTTTTACTCTTTAAGGTAGTTAAGTTATGTGTGAACTTAAATATACTTTAATGTAGCATTACCATTATGTAATATGTTGTGGATATGGTACACAATCAAATAAATTATTGACCCTGTTTTTATTACCTTGGTGCTGTATAAAATAATAACTTATAAATTATGTTTAAATTTGATTTATATAATAATAGTGTTAGCATTTTAATGGCATTATCTAAAATAATATATATATTTATTTATTATTTAATTCAGACTTATAGACTTATTATATTCAAATGTGGTTAACGTCATCGTTTTTCATTGATTTTAATCATATGTATATATTTTTTTATTTATCATTTTGATTTAAAAATACCATAATATGTTCAACATTGTTAAATATTATAATATATATTTTTTTTTATTAAATTGTAATAAGATTATTAATTGTTATATTAAAAATGTATATGGTTGTTCTAATCGTTGTTTTCATTCAATATATAAACGGGTATTTATCTTAGACCGAGCTTGAGGTAAGGAATCCTTCGTCGGATGCGTTCAAAAACTAGTTGTACATTTTAAGAATAGAATTGCTGATGACCAAGTATTCGTTGTCGTGTGTGTACTCGATGAGAAATGTCTGAGAGAATGGGATGTGAAGTTCTCTTTTTCGGATGACAACACCCGTTACCAAGACCAAAAACGCATTCCAAGTGGTATGCTGGACATTGGATGAGCTTATGTAAATATTGCAATCGTCAAACTGCTGAAATAGTATATTCGTGTTGATCTGATCCGGACCGATGGCTGGTAGCATACTGCAATTATTCGTGTTACCATTTATGTGCAAGTATTGGGCATTGGCCGAATAAAATTGCCATGAGTTGCCAGGCGTAGTGGTTAAGGTTTGATAGTAAGAATTCACCAACTCGTAGACCAACTGTTGTGCTGGATCATAATGATGGAACTGCAACTGTTGTAGATTAAAAGTAGTGTCCTCCAAACTCATTATTGCTAAAGACTCGGACGGAAATATTTTTAACTATCAATTTGTACATGTAAAAACCGTGTACGCGTATATTAGATTGTTGATATGGAAACCGTTTAAATTTGACAAAAAAATGTTTATAGGTACTTTGTGTATTTAGTATAAGGCAACATCAATTTAAATGGCCACTCTTATTGTTTTAGTGATTTGACCTGTTATACAAATCGCCAACTGCAGGAAGGGAGCATGACAGATTTTTTAGGAGAGCCGAAAACTAAAAAGTATTGGACATGTCTTCTTAGTTCTTTCTGCTCGATTCCCGCTGGCAACAGAAGTCGGAACTTTCGTCATATTTTACCATCCGCATATATAATTATAGATATATAGATTTATCTAGAAATTTAAGTATAGTGCTTAAATTATTTATAAAGCGATGGCCGATGACAGAGCCTAAAGATACAAGTGACCATTTTTTCAAAAATGAGTTTTTTTTATCACGCGTTATATTTTGTCAACTAAACCTTTTTTTCTGTTTGTATTTGCTTCACAGCTTTTCTGCTTTCTCCAATTTTATTAAAGAGTGATTGGAGAAAACTAATGAATATTACCAATAAGAATTAAGAACACAATTTAAATTTTGTTACCTATTCTATAAACTTTCATCACTTGTATCTATTACTGATTCCCACCACTTCAATTGCGTAAAAAGTAAGGTTTTGCTGGATTTCGAGGAAGAAGTGATGAACTTTTTAAATGTATTGTCTTATACAATCACTTTCGACATGAAGACTAATCATACTCAAAAAATTATATTATGAATAAATTAGACCAGTTGTTAAAAATGATTATGGGTCAGAACTCAAAACCGCTCGTACTACTGCATGTACGTTTACATATTACAAGTCAATTAGTAATTACTAATATTTAGTATATAGTACATTGAGTTAAGTAAAAACATTCGGTGTAGGTAATTTTGTTTTTTATTTCGCGTATTGTTTTGCTTACTGCTTAGTATTCACATGGAATGTAATGATGAATTATTATTCGTTTTGAATTTCTGAACATGGTGCACATTATTTGTACTTTCCATTCTGATTGTTTTGATTTTTTATGCAAAACATATTTTTAAATTATTTATTTATTTGTGTTTCGTACGCACAAAAGGGCAGAGAGAGTACATCATACAAATTTGAACAAAACAAATAAAAACAGATGACATTATATCTATTGAAACATAATATGTTTTAGTTTAACAACATTATCGTAAAAAAAAATCAAAATTGTTTAACATACTATTACTTTAAGTTAATATTCTATTTATGGGGCTATTAAGAACATAATTTTGCTTAGCGATGGGAACGTGATATAATTTATTTTGTCTAGTTCTAACCTGGGGGGCCCATAAACGAATGTTGGACAGCAACTCTGGGCAGTCAAATGTCAATCACACCATTTACCAGTTTAAAGAAAAACAGAATATCAAAATATGCTCGCCTGGACTTTAAAGAAGTCAGGTTGCAATGCTACTCAACTTCATTTATTGGCTGATCGGGCATATTTAATTTAAAGGCCGCCATTCGTAAGAATCGTCTTTGGACTTTTTCTAGTTTGTTCGTCAAGCCGGTTTGTTCAATATTCCATATTACTGAGTCAAACTCTAACGATGATCGTACTAACGAACAATATAAGACTTTTAAACATAACGGGGACTTCTTGACGGTATTCTTCGATCAGAATTAATTAGTGTTTATAAAATTAAAAAACGCGCGTGAATTGTTTCCAAAAACTGCACGTTATTGTTTTTTCCATGAAAAATTCATCTGGTTTCAACCATGATAAAGCCGGCCCGAATGATAACAATAATTGAAAACTGGTCACTACTCAGTACTCACTGGAGTACATAAATTGTCCTCACTACTTAGTACTTACTAGTTACTTCATAGTTCATACTACTCAGTACTCATTACTCGTGAATGTTGTTGTTGCTGTATAAAATTAGAATTTCATTAAATATGTTTGTATTTTGAATTTACATTTTACTAACCGTGTATGTTGTAGTAAATTACAATCCATAAAAATGCTATTAAACTGTTTGTCTAAACAATTATGCGCCCTTCCGTCATCTTTTATGGCCTCTTGCCGTCTTTCAACGTTGAAATTCGAAAAGGACTCGTCAAGTAGGGTGAATTCTACTACCATTAAGGGAAATGTATTTTTTACAAAAATTTGTTTTAAGGTGATAATACTCCTTTGGTTTATGGTGGCTATACAAATTTACGGCAAGCATGGGTGTCGAACTTGGATACAGTGGCGGACAGTCCTTCATCTATTATAGATTTACATCCTCAGGTATTTGGATCTAGACCGAGAATTGACATTATTCACGAGAATGTTGTTTGGCAGAGAAAATACAGATATGTCGTAAGTAATATGTCTATCATGTACTACTATGTCCATCATTTTCATCCACACGTCTCCCAATATAATTTTTTTTGCCTACTCTCAAGTAGCTAGACTAAACTTATACTAAGCTCTAATCTTATGTATTAATTATGCAATTACTTTGTACTATGTATGTAAAATGTTGTAACGTTTAATATATGTTTGTCGTTGTTAGAGTTATGCACATACTAAAGTCACAGCTGAGGTAAATATGAGTGGTAAAAAACCTTGGCCACAAAAAGGTACGGGACGAGCACGTCACGGTACAAGGCGATCACCTCTTTTCAGAGGAGGATCTGTCATACACGGTCCTCGTACGTGTACTACACATTTTTATATGCTTCCGTTCTTTAAAAGAGTCTATGGACTTACTTCAACTTTATCTGTTAAGTTAGCACAAGTAAGTGATTTGGTTTTATCATAATTAAAGCAGTGAATAAACTTGATGATTTATTCTTAGGACGACTTGCACGTAGTAAAAGATTTGGAAATTCCCACCGATGATCCAAGCTATATCAATGATTTAGTGGAATCAAGACTATGGGGACCTTCAGTTCTATTTATTGATGAGTGAGTAGATATTTCAGTTTATTATTATTATTACTTTAAGATATTTGTAAATTAAAGTAATAATTATAAACAAATTGAAATGGTAGTGTTGGGACAGATTTTAAGATGATTATATCAGTCTCAAAAAAACGCTTTGATGAAAACCTATGGGTGGTAAAGAGGATTATATATTACTCTTAAGGAAATTACGTGTTTATAATCGTTTTATTAGGTATTTTAGTTTTAGACTGTCTATTTGTTGTGCTTTATGTAATGAATACCTCAAACAAGTCTGAATAATTTGACGTTTTTTTAAAAAAACCTATAAAAATATGCTTTTTAGTACAAATTTTTAACTCTATATCATTAGTTAAATAATTTTTTAAAAAAATCCTTGCTCATAATGCCATAGTCGCTATGAGCCATAATACCCCGTCAACACTTCTCATAATTGGTGTCCAGAAATTTCAGTAGATGCAGACAATTTTGCACATGACAACACATTTTATTCTGTTTTAAAAATTGTTGGATCCGTTATAAACTTGATCTATTTTAGATCTATTTTTAACCCAAAGTTCAATATTGAACAATTTATGTCTGGAAATAAATCAAACTAAAAAATATATATATATACAGGGTGATCTAACTAACGTAAGACACCATTTTCTCTGAAAATATGAATATTTTGAGAATTTTTTTCCCCTAAACTTTTAGGTACTGTTTTTCATTATTTTGAAAACTTCTATCACCAATCCTTATAAGCCAAAAAAGGGTTTTTTTGGTTTTTTTTAAATGGCAACATATGTTTTTAATTACATAAATTTGTAGACAAAAAATCTAAAAATATGTTAGCGTTTGAATTTTTTATTTTCATTTATTTGTTCATTTGTTATGACTTTATGAAGATTTGATTTTTTGTCTGTATTTCTTAAAATTTTCAATCATTACTACAAAGACAATATTACATCGCATAAAAATAATTTGACGTGACCATACTCTGTATCAAAATCAGATATAATAAATAACCTGTAATCTAAGTATTCTGTAAATAAGATTGTCTATCATTATTTCAAAATCTTTTATAGTGACTTCCTAGTTGTTAGAATGTTATCGCTAATTGGACAATGCGAACATACATATGAACTTTATGTGCTACTGGTTTTGGAAAACCGAAGAAATATAATAATTTTAAAGAGAAAATGTAGTATCTTTACAAAGTCATAGCTCATTAGCTAATGAAGAGATAAATGAAAATAAAAAATTCAAACACTAACATATTTTTAGATTTTTTGTCTACAAATTTATTTAATTAAAAACACAATATGTTGTCATTTAAAAAAAACAAATCCTCCTTTTTGTCTTATAAGGATTTGTGATAAAAATTTTCAAAATATTAAAAATTGTAGTAAAATATGTACCTAAAAGTTTAGGAAAAAAGAATTTCACAAAATATTCATATTTTCAGAAAAAATGAGTGTCTTACGTTAGTTGGATCACCCTGTATATTATATAAGATGAAGTGGTAAAAAAGTAAAAATAATTGTTATGATTTTAATAGTAGATGTTTTTTTTAATACTTATACATTTACACGGAAAACTTTCCAATTTGTGTTTTATGTTTTGTACTATAAAGTGGTTTTACCTTTCTTTTTTTATAGAAAAAACTAAATTTATAAAAAATCCAAGGTCTTTATACCTAAAAATGCTTATCATTATTTTATAGATAATCATAATTAATAAATAAAATATTGAAACCGCAAGAGCATTAAGCATATTATATTTTAACTTTTTTTTTCTGTAAAAAAAAATTTTAAAAATACAGTAGCCTTTATTTAAAACATGGCTTGAGCGTGTGCAGAATAAATTTTCATCATACATAGCCTATGTCCTTAAGATTGTCTACCCACCTCATGATTATTCCCTTATCTGTACTACTTTAAGCATCGTAACTCTTTCCTCACGCCGTCTTGTAGCTGACTCTCATTTCCATTCGTCCCTGCTTAATGGTTCTCTTGATGCTCCTGACTTTCTCTCTTCTGTGTCTCTTCGTGTACCCTATCTTCTTTACCAGATACCATTTAATTTTTATTGTCCCTTCTCACTCTACTTCTTATGAATATAAACCACTCGTTGCACAGCATTTGCGCCGTCTTAATAATAATTATTTTGATTTTTGATATGGCTTAGTTCTTTAGCTTACAGATTTAATAGCTGTTATATAATTTTATTGTATAAATTTATTAATCTTGTACTTTTATACTTATATATATATATAATTTTTTGTATAAATTACCTGTTTAGGCATAACAAAACTAGGTACCCTATATCATTTAATGTTTTTTTTTTCATAGTACTGACACAATGCCAAGAAATATCGCTCTTGCTTTAGACAACATCAAGCATATCAATTTAATGCCAGTTTATGGTAAATTTTCATAATTTGAAAAATAATTATACATTTAAAATAATAATGGTTTATATTATAATTCATATGTTGCAGGTTTAAATGTTTATAGCATGTTGAAGCATGAGACATTAGTTTTGACAGTAGCTGCTGTAAAAAAAATACAAGAGCGACTGTTGTATCAATTGCACAGGCCAGATGTTTGTAAACTTAACAAAAAGTTCATGCTGAATCAGCAGAATTAGTTACAATTATATTATATAACGAGTTAAAAATAAAGAATTTGTAATTTTGTTACTGTAAAAACATTTTATATTATTAAATTATAAATACTTACGGTATAAAAATCAATATAAGACAGAATGTAACAAAGAAACTACATATATGCTTACAATGTATTATATTATTTATTAATACCACTTTAAAAAAAAAATTCAAGAGGTTACCAAATATACAAGAAAAAAACAATTATAGCAATTATTCAAGCTAAAATTACACAATCAATGTAGTCAACATAATAATACATGATTTAAAAATAAATCAACAAAGTACATTACAAAGTACATAACAGATACATTGTATCAATGCCGTTGTCTTGTCAATAAATGCTAATTTAATTAGACAAAATCTCACATAATAATAACATACATAAATTATAAATAAATGGTTGGTCACGTTTTCGAAAACATGTTCAATATGGCGGCACAAATTTTTTGAGGATTAGTCTCGTTTGGATAATATTGCATAGCCGTGGACACTTGTTCTTCGGGGAATATCGAAGCCAAATGATAATACAACTTCTGTCTGGCTTCTTGGTAACTAGGAAATATTTGTGGGTCCGAACAGCTAGCGCCCACCGGTTGCGATGTGGCCATCGGAGCTTGTACCGACGGAGCAGACGCTATTCTAGTCACGTTGCAATGTTGGCTTTCCCGTAAGTGTTGCAACCGCGGATCATACGTCGGGTTCAACGTCAGTTGCCTCTGGAGTTTACCGTGCAGGTTCTCGGATTCGGTTTCGGTTTCCAAATAAGTGTTGGGGGCCCACATACCCCAAGACTGTTGCGGATAGTTGGAGGCGGCTGGGATATTGGACCTGGTACGGGTGAGGGGCTTCTTGGAAATGTTTCCAGACTGCAGTGGTAAGCTCACAGACTTGCCTTTGATTTGGCGGCTGGCCGCTGACGACTGCCGTTGGGCGTGCTCTATTAACCGTTCGGTAACCGATTTCACGGGCTGGTGTCCTCTCTCGGGATGGCTGAACTTGCACTTATTGCCGTAAGTGCATTTTTTGCCGTAAGGACACGTCTCGCTACTGACGGCGTTCAGGCCGACTCCCGGAGCTTTACTACGTAGGAACACGTCCAGCGTCGGACCGGAACGACCTAGCGGGTCGTCCGGGGGCATAAATCTGTCGTTCACAAACGAGTACATCAGTATATTGTTTTGGACGACCGAACGGAACGCCGGACTCTCGTTTGCTAGGTCTCTGTAGTTGTCGTTGGAAACCACAACGCCGTCTAACTCGGCGGCCAATCGCAGTATGTAACGGTCGTCGTAACACACCATTCGTTTACCGCCTATTTCCCTGGACGGCGTAAACACTAACATTCTCGCACGTTCTAGCTCTATCAATGTTTCTTGATCTTTAAAAACATAACGAGAAATCGACAAATTAGCATAGTTCATCACCGTCGTATTTACTGTTGTCAAGTTTAATTTCTACACACATACCAATAATTCTATTGTCGGGTCTTGACGCTTCTTTCCGCCATTTAGGCACGAAAACTGTTATGTCCGTATGACCTCGCATTCGGAACCAATCGACGCAAATTTTAATACCTCGACACGAAAACATTTCTTTGTTACCGTGGCTGTGGAAGAAAAAAAAAAAAAAATGAATTTCTTATGATCGTTTCTTGGAATATGCATTTAAATCGGGTACGGTCGTATTATTACCTCATGGCGACATTGCTTCCGTCAATGACAATGTGCCGGAGCTTAGGTGCTTGCGCGCATTGATCGTTGGCACCGAGACACTGCGCTTCGTCTCCATCAGAATCGCCGTGCAACTTATGACCGCACTGAGCGCCGAGTTTAATCAGTTCCTAAAATATGCGCACAGACGTTGTAATTGAACGTTTCGCGGTGACAATTAAAAAATACTCACGGCCAGTAGTTGGTCTTGTGTAGGTTCGGCGCCTAACTTGTTTAGAGCTGCTTGGACTAACCGTTCGGTGTATCCGAGTTTAAGCGCAAAGTCGACTCTGGACTTGTACGCTGGAGCGCTAATATAGTCTGCATATTCTGCGCCCAACGTATCGGACGTGGTTCGACTTATGTCGTGATGACTGAAATTCGTGCTGGCCGTGTCTTCGTCGCCGCCAAAATCCGAGTCATAACTCGAGTCGTCGTTGCTGCATTCTCCCAAGCCTTGTTGTAGATCGTTTAGCGAATCAACGTAGCACTGTAAACAAAGGCGTCATTAAACTTTGAACATATACTTTGACCACAAGTTGATACTTATGCTCAAAGCTATTATGGTTTTGCAAACAACATGGTAATCATGAATACCCAAAATTATCCGGTGGAGTCACCTACTTCATAATATCATCAAACCTAAATACTTTAATGACAATTTTTGCTAGCCCGTTCGTGTTTGCACCAATGATTAACATTCTAATTTGGGGACGGCGGTGTAGGATAATAAGTGTTCATCCCCTAGGCAAGTGTCCTAGAGAAATAAAATTACTATATTCTTCCCCCGATAACATTCTGAAGCTATTGTTTTATTTTTGATCGACGGGTTGGCAGCCAAATATTATCCAACGCACCGGATCAATACCCTAGCGTGAAAAAGTTTAAAGGAAATGAAATGCAAAAGGTACACCCTTTGACTATTCTTGACAAGTTTAAAATCGATTTCTCACTCAAATTTTAGTATTGTTACATGATCCACCCTTTTAGTAGTTTTATAAATCTTAAACGGAAGGCGCATTATTATTGTTGACCTAATTATTTTAACTTTTACAACTGATTTATTAGTTATTATTTTTTATTAATTTATGGCTTGGGTCAAAATTGGTTACCAAAACCATCTTGTGCTATTATTTCAATACTATGTTACCTACGCATTATTGTAAATATAATTATAATAACAACTGTTAATAAAAATTTGATATGTACAGTGTATACTATTACTACTCAGTCGGCACACTACCTAATTTACAACGCATTATACAAAACAAATCGTCACATTCCATTTTTTAGGGCACCCTAATTTGTTTTCTTTTTTTTTTATTTGAAAATATTTACAATCTGTATTAGTATATAGAATAAATAAAATTTAGGGCTAATTTATTTACAAAGCTGGACGACTTGATCGAAAGGGGCGTCCATTGACACTACTTCAGACGCCCTAATTTCTATAAAATAAAAGATTACATAACGAAATATGGTAAATAAACAATTCTCCAAAGTCATTTTTCATAAAAACCAACAATTGCGCATTACAGATAAATAATTATTACCGCTACACATTAGGTGCATGTTATTTGCGAAAACAACATATTTGTCATAATATGTATTTAACTCTCACGGGTAGGACTAAACACATACCTCGCACGTGTTAACTTCGGAGATAATAAACTATAAGGAAAGAACTGTTATATCGTTGGTTTATGCAGCTTTAGTATAGTTACGCACACGCGTCTTAAATTTTTTAATCTAATGACTGAATTGATAACTTTCAAACGCTGGTTGTTTATCCCAAACTCAAAAGTTGTTAACCAACTAAAAAGTAGGTAACCGTTTTCCATCACTATCGCATTCTATTATCTATCATCGTATTAAACGTAGTCAATCAAAAGGTTCACACTGTTATTGTACTATTTGTTTGCATCCTATGGTCATGCATGCCATTGACGCAGTCGGGTTAACCGAGTCCCATTAGCTATTTTTCATTGAAATTGAGTTTCAGCTAACATTTGGTACGTTTGGATATGTACGTTAAACATTTTTTTGCAGCTACGTGTCACATTGAATCTCATTTTTAACAAATGTTATGGAATCGAAATGTACAGCCTTTAAATACTTATAATCTTTTATTTCTTTCGCTTTCCCCGAAAAATTTAATCGCGGACTTGATTTACCTGCACTCGAAATTTAATTTAATTTTAGCAGTTTAATCTAATCTAAAAATTACCTATTCTGTGGTTTAATCGAACTGCGATTGAAGTGCATCTAAGTGCAGTAAAGAAGAGAGGAAATGTCATTATTTTTCTTATTATAAAAATATGGTAAATTAAAGATACTCCTTTGAGGGTTTGAATACTTCACAAAATGCACAACCAACTTGCACTGATAATTATCAAATTTTACCTTTTGTACATGACCGTAGACCATGTTTCTTTTTGTTTAATATTAAGTAATCGGTACTAGATACCGATGCAGAATAAATAATCTTAAACGACAGGATTTCTTGTAATTTGTAAACACTTTTTACTAGATATTGCAACATTTAAGTATAAATTGAATAAAGATTGAGACAGAGAACAAAGTATGTATAAGTCGAGGAGGCGGGAGACTTCAACGACTGACGTTAGTCTATTCTAACGTATTACAATAACAGTATACCTGTGGGGCATATTGCACACCGCACAGTGTGATAAATGTGCACTGTGCATTTTATATAATTTAAACAGACACGACGTTCGAAAGTGATATCCTTGTACTTAGAAGACTTGACACGATCGCTATAATTTCACAAATTGGAACTTTTGGTTTCCGATATGTTTTAAGGAACGCCGAAAACTCATCAGTTATCTCATATTCTCATCCGTGTACTATGTCACCTGAGTAATCAGTGGTATATTTACTATTTTCTTCTAAGGGAAAAGGTGTTGATAGACAAAAGAAATTTGATTTTTTGAGCCCCTCTTCCTTTATGTAAAACACACCTGTATGGCCGGGCCAAAAAAGGTCAATCATGCTTTATTGGAACGCTGGGAACGTTTGTATATCTATATTGTTTATTGTTTTCAAGTTTCAAAAAGGACAAAATACATTATGCGTCTATCTTAAAAGATTGGCTTATCATCAAAGCATGTTCGTTAGATAAAAAGATATACATTTCTATGTAGGTATTTTTAGATTTAGTATCATATTAAAATTCAATTTTTTTGGTTTTTATGACATTTTGTCTGAAACTTACAACGCTAACGGGAATATTTTTATGATTACAATTCTACATAATAAATAAATTATTAATAATTTGTTTATTAAAAAAAAATCTTTCGGGAGGTAATGCATCACTCCGACTACCCCAGCGGAAATAAACCACTGTGCGGCATACCTAGTTTAACAATAATTGCCGACCAATCCCGTGAAATGCATAAATGCTAAATCTGAAAAGGGTTCAAGAGAACAGTTGGACCTAGTTTCTCGAAGACCCCCTGGCTCCGTGCGAGGCTTATGGGCAACGCACATTTATATCTGGCAAGCTCAAAAACGGCGCGTGTAGGACCCTCGGCGGGGGGAAGGGGGGGGGCGAATTTCGGAAATCTCACGGCGGTTACCAACCATATCCGGTTTGGCGAAGACCGAGAAATATACTTGTACAACAGTCATCGAGTACGTCGGAATTTCCACAAACATCATATCGTATCGTATACGGTGTAAAACCAAAAGACAAAACAAAAGAAAACTACTCACTTGTAGCTGTAAACCGGTAAAGGTCATGGCGACGATCGAGTGCGGCTGTATACCGATCAAATGGCGTACTCTGGATGGTGCGCACGCGACCGGAGTACTCGCAGCACTACACTGTATTGTGTACTCGGCACACTGCTGCACGAAGCAGTCACTACAGCAGGCCACGGCTCGGTACAGGATCCGGATGAGCTCGCGTCCGTGTCGGGACTGCGGAGGATCCGGGAGAAACAACACGACGCTGACCCGAATCGTCGCCACGCGCTTCCGGGAGTGAAGGTCTGGGGGACCCCACCACAACGTCAACGCCGCCGCCGGCGCCTTCTTTACAACCTCCTACTACAATACACCGTCATATTTACTACCGCTAGTAGTGTATAGACGATTATTATTATTATTATTATATTATATGCAATACCGCTGCCGACGATAGAAAAACAACAGCACGACTAATAGAAGAAGAAAAAAAAAACTTTAGCGCGATGTGCAACGCGCGGTACGATGGGTTAACGGACCTAAACAACCGCGGCGGCGGACGAATGACGCAGTCTCTCGTTTGGGTCACGCGGCAAAGACTATAAGACTATATATATACAGATACATAACAAAAGTATAACACTTGTGCCGCTAAGGTCACGAAGTCACCGCGGCCGTTATAGCGATCGCAGTTATTATATATATATATATATATATATTTAATATGAGAGAGCGACGTTTCCAAAGTTAAATCTTTTAGAAAAATTTGCCAAAAACAGAAACAACTAACGAAGCTCGAGTGCACTGCTCAAACCGTTTTACTAAAATCATCAATATTCGTAAAACTACTCGAGAGCGTAACAACGTAAAAAAAAAAAAAAAAAAAATAGAAACATTAAATCCGTCACTTGCAATATAACTACACTTTCCGCTCTCCTGTGAAATATTATAACTTACTAGCTTACCTATACAATTTTTATTGTCACACGAATACACAATTTCGACTAATTGTTCATTAATAGAAATCTAAAAACTTGTGCGACTGCCACGAGAGAAGAATCACTGCGGTATCCTGTAGTACAACCACTAACTCATTAATGGAATCAGTGGACGGAAACCGTAATTTAAGGTATAAAAATCAACGATCTCGAATATCGCCCATGTCAAGGGTTATTTATTCAAATTATTTAGAACAGTTCAATCTAACTTCCTTGTTTGAAAAAATAAAAATAACTAGTTCCTCGGTCGAACAATAAAACATTAGAGATTGTATTGCAAAGCGAACATGTCGATAATTAGTAGTTACAAAACAGTATGATCAGCATTTAATTGCCAGCCTCAGCATACATAATTACTATAAGTTATAATAATTCTAAATTTTGAATTCTGTAAAAAGTATTGTATTGAAAAATTGTACAACACTATCAAATGAAAACATAAAAACTGGGGGTCTAGATGCCGAGGGACATTTTGCTACTTCGGGCAGATTTCTCATTTAAGTGGATATTTTGTAAAATTTGTATTATGAATTCTTTACAGACCATTTTAATCGAGTCTTAAGTATTGTCAAATCGGATATTAGGGTATAAGATACTTCCAGGTTTACCTAAAAAAAAAAAAATCTAAGTTCTATTTCCTACTCTAATGCTATTTACTACTAAAAAACCACACCAATATGGCAATGGTATCCAATAGACATAGCTCGCCTTGTTAGGTTGAATAGTTGCTACCTAGAAATTGGTGTGCTATTAATCTAATTACTATAGTTAGAGTATAACTCTC